TATATATATATATATATATATATATATATATATATATATATATATATATGCATGCATACCCTGAGTCTTGAAAGATAAAGCTTCTTTAAATTGACCTACTATACAGAGTGACGCATACATAAATTAATCCATTGCAAAGAATTGAATCATTTATGAATATCCAGCAAACGATTACAAAGGAAAAGCAACTAATCCTGGATGACATATACAAACCTTCAGTCCAGGAATAAAATAAATTCCAAAAATTAAGACACATTAAGAAGAATGTTTTCAAGTAACATGAAGCTCGGAACTGAAACCAAAATACAAAGGCACTCATGCAATCAATCATCGACTTTCTGCAACTTTATATATATATATATATATATATATATATATATATATCATTGCAAAATCTTTGTTCCATTGTACCTGCAAACCAATACAAAACAACAAACATTTTTAAGACATATTATGTACCAACTCTTTTCTGTTTTCTGCATGCATTAATTAAGATCTGCTGATGTTAGTTCTATTAACAAGCCTGCAGGCAAGATCAGCCATACAAATTAAGTGCCACTTCCATTTGCAAACATCGATGTTTCTTGCATAATAAATACTATAATTTGCTAGCGAGTAATTAAGAGATACGAATGCATACATACCTACTAATATTCGCTCTTAACCGATCCAGGTATGCGTATTGTCTTCCTACACAGAGTCTCCTTTTGATTCTCAACGTCTGGATGGATCTTCTTCTTCAACATCTTTCTCACCAACTTAATTCACAAAACAAAGCATATATTTGAGTAACACATGCGCATTATTATTGAGAAAAAAAGAAAAATAGAGAGGCTCACTCGGTTTATTTTCTTGATGGGGTGAGCTGGGTTCTTCTTAGAGATTAATGCAACCCTGTCATCATTTGATGCATGTTTCGTATTGGATTCAGTAGTATCATGATCATAATGGAGTACTTTGACATGATCTTCATCATTATCAGCTAACTTGTTCTTCTTCAACAAGTTCTTTTCAGAATCAGCCCAAAACAAATCAGCAAGAGTAATTCTGTCTCCAGCTTTCCTCTCCTTTTTCACTTGATCAGTATCCAAACCTGCCAAATCCTCCACACCATCTTCATCATGATCACTAGGTTTACAAGTTGCATCACATGAATATTGTGGGTGATGATCATCTTTCTGATCATGTAAAAACCCATGCTTACAAGCTTTTAACACCAATGGGAAATTCATTTCCCGTTCCTGGTCTCCTCCATCATCATCAACGAATAATTCATTAGGAATGATTTCACACAAATACATGTCATCTTCAGGTTTGAAATCTTTCAATAATGCAGGATCAAGCCCTAATGTCCCAATAGATAGTATGCCTTCTTTCCAACCGTCAAACACACTATCCAAGGCTGCATTTTTAAGCAGAGCGAGTTTGTCCCTCCCATTTCCAGCAACCTCAGTCTTAGCAGCATCTTGGCCAACTTCATCTGTCAAAAATCAATTATGAGCAATATTTAGGATATAACATTAATTAAGTTCATTAAAAGAAAGACATGAAAATAATGCACAATTAATTAATGAGCGAGAGAAGGTCACCTTTCTGATGAAACCTACGGTGAACCCAGTTGAATATCTGTGGACAATTATGTAAAACAGGTTAAGATATATATATATATACATATATATATATATGTATGTATGTATGTATAAGATGTCCATGAAAGTATATAATATATAATTAATCCCAGAAGGCATCTAAGCATCAACTAGTATACATACCTTCATTTTCTAATATCTTGATTGGTGTGGTGCAAGTTGATAAAGAGAGCACACACAACTAGTTTTATGTAAATTCAGATGAACGACAGAAGATAATAGTCACTAACGTTAAGATTGTAGAAGAGGAACAATATAAACGAAAGCGAGAGGTGGGAGGGGTCAACATTGTGGAAGGTTCAGATGGCAACACGTATCACGATCAAAAGGGCCCCCTCAACATAAGGTATGTTTGCCTTTTAAATGCATTATAGAAAACATTAATTATTTGGTATGGATCTTAGCTGCATCATCTTTGACTCATGATACCCATTAATTAATTTTTGGTCCAATGAATTGGATATATAAAATCTAAATTAATTACACAGTTAATTATGATTAAATGGATTCTCATGAAAATGTGGATCCTATGCAAATTCAATAATGTTTTTTGAGTTACATGTTACCTGCTAAAGAAACTATGGACATGCATGTTGGAGATTTATAATTGTTTTGATATGTGGGATGGAATATATAAGAAGAAACACTATACATACATTAACAAACAGAAAGTTTGTAAGGAAAAGATCGAACCCTCTTGATTCTTGACGTTTGTGGACCATTACTATCTTGCATGTATTTTTGTGCTGTAAATTTGACTGCTAGTGCCATGTCTTTTACCCATAAATAAATAAATGAAAGCCATGAAGCAACAAATATTAAAGGCAATGGACTGTTTACTTCTAGTGTTCCCCTAAACCCCAATTAAGTCTTATTCCTTTAATTGGCAAGCAATCTATATATATAAAGCCACAATTAATCACAAGAAAAATAAGCCACAGATAGAGAGATATACATTATTCCATATGTATATATACAGACCAACTTAAGGTCATTTATAATAACCGGAAATTATGGTACCATGCATGCCCTTTTTAACTAGTACGTATTAGATTTTTATGATCCCTGTTTATTCTAGATCAAATAATCAGGCAAAAATTCATATCCGTATGGGTCCCCTCTCTCTCTCTCTCTATCTTTTAATCATCATAATCACCATCATAAATAAATATATATATATATATATATATATATATAAATACACACACATGTATATAAAAAAACCATACTTATAGCTACTTTAACCTTGTCTATCTTTGTTCAACGAAACACCAAGCTCTTCTTCTTGTGATCACTAATTCAAAAAAGACCAAGCTAATAATTTGTATATATATAGTAATTAATAATAAATTAAGAACGAAAGTTGTGAAGACTTTTTGTAAAGATGGTGATATATATAGTGAAAAACAATATTGATTTTTATGGTGACAAGTGATAACATTAAAATGTAATTGGTCAAAAAAAGGATAGGATTTATAATTTATCCAATAATGCATGCAAAATAAAATGTGGGTTGTCTGCTTTCCAGAGATCGTTTTTTTCCCTTTGTTTTTTAGCTCCAGATCCTTCAAAGTGCATACAAGCGTTTAATTGTTTTCTGCGTGTATATATATATATATATATATATATATATATGCAACTCCATTATTTCAATCAAATGATCCTATATAGCTAGAATCTTCATTCTACAAAGCTACCTAGGCATACAAATTATATGACCACCAATTTGAACTTCTATTTCCATCTCATCACTTGGCATATATATATATATATATTATATATATATAAATTAATTAAACAAGATCTGAATCATCAAAAAAATGGCAACTTATGTCTCATAGTTATAATTATTGGGATGTGGAATTTGGAACGATTGTTATAATGATGGCTTTAAACCCATATGCTTAACAAAACATTAAAGAATCACTCATAATTAACGTGGAAGATTTATTGTTGGACAATACCCAGAACCTGAAAAGAAATTACAAACTCAAAATGCAATTGTGTTTCAACTCTCTCTCACAGACTGTGATCTAAATTTCATGTATCCGGATCGGAACGCAATGGGGCATTTATACTAAGCATATCCAAAAATCTAAAGTCAATACCAACACTAGAAACTCGAATTTCCTTACTTATCACCTTGCAAAGCCCATGCTTGATCATCAGGTAAAGATTTTTTATCACAAGATTACATTGTGTGCGTGATTATAGGGTGTGGTTTTACTTGGTGTTTTTCTCAAACTTTGGCGTTTTGGTGTCTCATACAAGTATGTAACAATTTTCAACACTCGACAATGATGTCAAACAACTTACAACAAACAAAGATGTTGATAAAATCCACCTTGAGCGCAGAAATACCTCTGTTGCTGTCGAAGCGAAACCAGATCAAATATCCCAACTCCACCTTAGGCCGAAATATCTTTGATGGATATCAACACAACCCAAAACTTCCTCCACCAAGTTAAGCAAAGCTCCAAAGTAGCACCAAATATCTTGAGATGCTGTGAATGAGAACCGATGTTTCCAAAACGAGTGTTACTTACGGTCTCCAGTAAGTGTCGTATTCAATCAAAACACTCCAAAATTAATTAAACAAGGAAACAAATATCAAACAAAGAACGTAAGATACATGCATACCAAAATCCCATATGGATTCAATGTATCAAACCAAACGTCCACAAATATCGTTCTCCATTCAAGTGTTGCTACTCAAAAGTCAAAAGAAAATCAAGCAAACATTAGGCATGGTTTAAAGTGCATCATCATCAAAAGCTAATGATCGCTAGTTATGCCTTGGCATATATCTGATTTGTTTTTTTCAACTTGAGAGTTGAGACGATTCTTCACCCAAGTAATATCTAATGACAGCATAAACATCAATTACACGACTTCTATCTAGTAACTTCAAATCTATTATCAGATAGAAATGAAAAATAAAAACCTCTCATGCATCTCGGAGTTTTGAGGTTGCAAGAGCTCCAACAAAATGGTTTTCGACCCAATCAATGTCCGGCTAAAATACCCAAAAAGCAAGTCGAACATAAACTAATCATCAAACAACAATTGAAATCTCGATTGAAACCAAAGGAGCATCCACTTATATGTTTTTACCTACTAAGGCCGTGAAGAACAAAATTTCTAGGTTGCCTTGAATTTTATTTGAGCCATACAAGTGGTTGAAATTTTGTATCCTTAGAAAAAAGGGTGTCTGATAGAGGTGGATTGAGAAAAAATTTAAACAAGACACTTTGACTGCCCACCGCCACACCACAACAGCCCCTCCACATTTTCAAACTTAATGTCGAAACCCACCACCCACCCCCTCTATTTGCAACCCCAAAACCATGTTTTCTTTACCCAAAATGATGAAGGATTATTCCAAACAAGAAGATGATCCATTCTTGAAAACTGGAAGCAGTAACAGTGTTTTGATGAGGAATTTAATAACAAGAAAAAGGCAATGGCTTGTCTTCAAAGTGTTTTGATGAGGAATTATGCCATTTTGTGTACATCCAAATAAATCCTTACTTGACCAGCTTTTGGGCAAATTAATTAGTTGAACAATCAAGCATATATTTAGGTGCCATTTCCTTTAGAAATTAATGATGCAAGCAAAAGACTTTATACATACAAAAACTTAGGTTCCACAGAAACTATAGCAAAAAACAAAGTGATTCATGAAATGAAAGAAAGAGATATATGTTGCCTCTATTTGGAGGCCACCCTAAAAAGAAATAAAGCAGATTTTTGATTCAGGTGTCATTGCAAAGCTTCTATGTTACTTGTGTTTAAAATGTTTCTTTCTGGATTTTATTCCAATCTTCGTTACCGGCTCTCCGTATCCGATTCAACCATTTTCTCATTCGCTGATTCCTTGGTCATGTCTAATGCTAAACTTTATCTCCTATATAAACATTGCTTCTCTCCCTCCCTCCCTCCCATATCTGCATTCATTAATTTCTTCCATTCATAATGTCTAGCCAGCAACCACCTCCCTCCCGTCCATGGTTCCGATTAGCCACCATGATCCGCCCACCACCACCAGTCGAAACACCTACCTCACAGTCCAATCAAGCTCCACCACCACCAAGGCCTGCCTTCATTCGACCTACATTTACCCCAACAGCTCCACAACCAACCCAAACCCCAATCCCACCACCCCAGCAACCCACCCCAACCCCACCTCCTCCACAACCCACCCCAACCCCACCTCCTCCACAACCCACCCCAACCCCACCTCCTCCACAACCCACCGCAACCCCACCACCACAACCCACCCCGACCCCACCACCTCAACAACCCAACCCGACTGCATCTCCTCCACAACCACAGCGTTCGCCTACTGTACTACCTCCACCATCATCAGTTCAAGCTACTAGCGGGGTGGCACCACCAACTCCTAGTGTTTTGCCACCACCAGCATCATCACCTACTAAAGCTCCACAGGCTTCATCCCCGGCTTCACCAATATCTCCATCTCGTAAACCATCACAATCATCAACCCCTAGCACACCTCCATCACAACAATCTGCACCTCCCTTGCCAGTCTTAACTTCCCCTCCACCACCTCCTCAATCACGTCCCATACTACCATCGCCCACAACTACCAGGAGCCCACCCACCACCGCCCGTTCTGCAAGCACAGCATCCTCTCCACCTAAAATTGTCAAACCATTAGAATATAGCCCACCTCCATCCTCCGCCTCTAATGTCCTAACACCACCAGTATCTCCAAGAGTTCAAGATTCTTCTTTAAAACCTCCACCACCATCTCCAACCAAGAAGACACGTTTCGTGCTTTCACCACCTCGTCCTTCCCCATTGCAACAATCCAAACATCCCTTAGCAGTTTCAAGTTCCCCTCCACCTTCTCCTCGGTCACGTTCCATAGCACCATCAATGACAACTACCGCATCCTCCCCACCTAAAATTATCAAACTGCCAGAAAAAACCTCACCTCCACCTACTACCATCAAGCCTCTTTCTCGTGCTGTTTCTCCACTATCACTCCCTTCACTTAAACACAAGTCCTATAATGAGATCCCGCCAGAAACAGAATTCAAGCAGAAGACCATGCATGTTCAAGAAACGAAAGAAAAACACAAGGGTTCTGCTAACAGTGACTTTCGCAGGCATATTGGTGGGGGTACTCATAGCCCCAAGCATGATATGACCAAAAAACCAGAAATTCCTAAGAAACACTGGGATTCAGAAAATCCAGGGAAGAGTATTATAACTATCGCAGGTGAGAACAGAGGAGCTATCATGAAGCTGATCCCTTCTGGGGACAAAAAAGATGAGTTTGGTAACAGCTCAAACAACATTCACATTAGGAGAGACAATCCAACCTCCTCAAGCGATGGAAAGACATTGAAAACAGAATCAGAAAGAATGGCAAAAGCAAAGAACAAGAACAAGAATTCAAACTCACTACTGACGACTGCATTCCTGAACAGTAATGTACAAGGTGTGAACAATTCTATTCTCTACAATTGTGTTACCAATCATCATGACCCTGGTATCCACCTCTCACTCTCAAGAAAGTCTGATGGTGATCATGGATCTCATATCAAGGAGCAGAAGAAAGAATAAACATCTTATCATAATCTAAACATGCAGACAAAAGGGTCAGATTATCAACTTGTTGTGCAATTTCTTCATCATCTAGGTATCAGTGCGAGTGAATGAATAAATTGAGTGCCCAAATTTGAGTGATGGAAAAGGGCATGAATCTACTCCTTTTTTGTTGCATTTTAGTTTCATGAACACGACTAATAAATTGAATGCAGTATGCCTGTTTCACCTACGGAACAGACTTGCAGGATGAATTAATAAAGAATGAATGTTTTTAAATCTTTGCAATTGGGGTATGCATCGCTTAGCTCTACTGTATAGCTGTAAAATAGGAACACAATCTTCTTCACCCGTTTAAAACCGAATACCTATTAGTCATTAATGAAGTTTTGAAGCTTCTTTACACATGATTTAGACTGGGTTCAAGTTAGGTTTTGATTAGTATGCTTCACTAAACCAACTAGGACCATCCTTAACTGAAATCAATGCCCAATACATGATTTAAGCGTGTCTGGCTGCTGCTCGGAACCACCGCCATTGACGAGGTCTTTTATCTTTGACTTTAATTCGCTTTTGGTCGATCACTTACCGATTTTCGTTCCGAACACTTTACACGGCATTCAAGGTATGATACATCTAACGATTTTTTATGTGACCTAAATCACTTTAACAGCAAATTTTCTTTACCATATTTCTCGACTCCGCCAAACACGGTGCTTAAAGGCCGACGGCAGCCTTCTGGCTCATCTCGTTCCAAGATCTCAACATTCAACTCGTAACAACACACTAAACAACAACATGAAATTAATCAAAGCTTAAATGTGTAAATTATACCTCGATTGTTGCTTGAATGTCGAGAACTCTAAAGCTGCGTATGCGACTGATTTTTGGTTTCCAATCGAACGATTCCAATTTTCGCTGGTTTTCCATTTCATGAGTTTCGAGGATTGTCAAATCAGGCCCCTCCATTTTTGCTTCTTAATTATTTCACCACAAATAAATATATTTTGTTTTATTTCCTTATTTGTTCTATAGACACACACATATATGTTTCCCTTTTTAGGGTCATTGAGCCAAGAATAAAAGTTATGGTGAGAAATGTAAGAAATGGTCTTCATCTTTAAACCAATTCTAGTTGAAGATCAACATTAAGGTGACGTTTGGTTCACATAATGTCTTTAGATGGAAGATCTGTTAAAAGAATTTGACTTTAAAGAAATATGAATAGAATATTATCAGATTTGACCATCTGTTTGGTTGGCAGACGTTGGAATGGAATCTGTTTAAACATTAGAATCTGTTTGTTTGGTTCACAAAATATAGCTTTGAAATTAGAATGAAATATTGGTAAATAGCCAAAATGTTTTTTTTTTTTGAAAATTTTAATTTTTTTTAAAACCATTAATTAAATAATTATTTAATATGTAAAACAATATAAAATACATAATCCAAATATAATCATAAGTCAAACGAAATTACTAAATCAACGGTGGTCGGCGGTGGTTCAGATTGGTAGTGGTCCACGGTGATTCAGATCGGTGGTGGTGAAGTGGTTCATATGGCGGTGGTCGACAGTGGTTCAGATTGATGGTGGTCTCCGGTGGTTCAAATCGGAGGCGGTGGTGATTCAGATCGATGGTTGTTCAAATCGTTGATGGTCGGCGGTGTCCGGCGATGATTCAGGTGGTAATCGTCGATGGTCGGCAGTGGTTCAAATCAGTGATGGTCAGTGGTGCTTCAGGTGGCGGTGGTCGAATGTGGTTTAGATTGGCGGTGGTTCAAATCGGGGGTGGTCGGCGATGGTTCAGATCGGCGGTGGCCGGTGGTGATTCATATTGGTAGTAGTTTGTGGTGGTTCAAATCAATGGTGGTCCGTTGTGGTTCAGATGGAGATGGTTGACAGTGGTTCAGATTGGTGGTGGTCCATGGTGGTTCAGATGGCGGTGGTCGAGGTGGTTCAGATCGACAGTGGATCAGATCGGTGGTGGTCGGCAGTGGTTCAAATCGGTAGTGGTCGATGGTGGTTCAGATCAGCAATGGTTCAAATCGGTGGTGGTTGGCGGTGGTTCAGATCGGTGGTAGTCGGTGGTGGTGGTCGGCGGTGATTCAAATGGACAGTGGTAGGAGGTGGTCGACGATAGTCATATTGGGTTTTATGAGATTAGGGTATATTAGGTTAAGGGGCATATATG